CGGACGTCGCGCTGCGCGGGCACGGCCCCGTCAGGCCCATGACCATCGCCGACGCCACGCTGCAGCCGCACGCGTTTCAGAATAATTACGCGCGGCCCCGCCACGCAGAACGCGCGCGTGCCGTTGATGGCTGCATTCCACCACGGCGGCCTTGGCGGGGGAGGCACGGCCGCCGCCTGGCCGTCGCTTCCAACAGCCTCTCCAGCGGCAGTCGCTACAGTCAGCGCTGCGCCGTGCGCGCGGCCGCGGCCCCCGCGGGCCAGGGCGAGGGCGGCGGCGGCGGGCGCGGGGCCGGGCTCGGCGGCCTCCAGCGGAGCGGCCGCGGCGCCTCCAACGCCTCGCGTCCGCTGCGGGGTCTCGCCAGCAGCGCGCGCCTCCTCGTCGCCGTCAGAGGCGCTCAGAGATGCGCCTGGCGCGGGGCCCTCGGCAGCGGCCTCGTCAGCCTCGTCGCCGCCGCCCGCCTGGCCAGCGACCTGGGCCGCCAGCGCCGCCCCGACGGCCGCCACCGCGACGGCCGCCGCCGCCACCACCGGCGCGCTGGCCGACTGGCCGCTCCCGCCGCCGACAGCCGCTCGGCCGCGTGGAATCGCCGCCCCGTCATCGGCACACTCCCAGCAAATCGAGCGCACGCCTCCGGCAACCTCCAAGGCCCCGCCGCGGCGGTCGCACGCTCTTACCGCGCACCGCGGGCCCTGCACGCCGCAATCAGCCCTGGGCCCTGACGGCAGGCCTCCAGACCCGGGGCCGCGTAGCCGTCAGGCACCCCGGGGAGCGCGTCGCCCTCGCGCACGGCCGCGCCAATCCACGGGTCAGCTCCAGGGCCAGGCCGGCCGCCAGGTCGATGAGGTCTAGCAGCTCCTGCGGGGCCGCGTGGAGGCTGGCGCCCTCCTTCACTTGACCGTCGGCCCTAGCGTTCCACGCGCACTGCCGGTCGGAGACGCGCCCCTCGCGGACGTCGTACTCCGCGCAGTGCACCTTTACCTTCAGGACGCTGATGTCGCCGCTGCCGCGGTCCTCGACAAGCCGCCAGAACTGGCACCGCAGCGCGCGATACGCCCTCCTCCACGCAGTGCACCACCGCTTCCCCACTATCCATCCGTCATAGACCAGGGCCGAGTCCGCGCATGGGATGATCGGGCCGATACAATGCTGGAGGGCCACGAGAGCTGCCTGCAACTCATTCGCGCCGCTGTCCTGCGGGAGCGGACACGGCGCGTTCCCCCGCGCGGCCACGCGCTCGGCGTCGTTGACCCACGTCGTCACCGCGGCCCGACCTGCTCGTGCGAGCTGGCGGCCGCGGGTGCGCACTGCCGAACCATCCAGGAACACCTCTCGCACCATGACGTCGCCCGGGTGGCTGCCCGCGCGCCGCATGACGATGGCCAGGAAGGGTTTCGGTACCTCCGACCTCTGATCAGTCGGGAGCCCTCCGCGACCATGAAATATGTTCCTCGCCGTCGCAGGGGGGCGGCCGCCTCCGCCTCCTGCAGCGACGCGAAGCCAGGCGGCCCCCCGAGCTAGAGGCGGCGCGGTCCATCCAGCGCAGGACAGCACCACGCCAGGCGCCGCACCACCTCCTCGCAGCCCCACGGGCAGCGAGCCGAAGACGCGAGCGGCGGGCTCGCCCTCGCGCGCCGCGCAACAAGCCACAAACAGCCTGCCATGGCGTTGCGGACCGAAGAGCTGCACGCTGCCACTCGCGCCGTGGCCTCCTTCGCCAGGACCTTGCACCGCGCGCTCGCGATGGCACCATCGCGGCGGACCGCCTCCAGCCCCGAGCGGTGGTCCACCACCTCACGGCACAGCGTCCTGACCAGCCCCGACTCGACGAAGCCCTTGATGGCATGGCGCCCGACCTTCATGAGGTCCACCGCGCGGTCGAAGCCGTCGCGGACCAGCTTGACGGACGTCACGTGCCACCCCAGCCTCCGGCATGTCAGCAGCGCAGCGCCCGCTGGCCCCGACGCTGCGAGACCTGCCGGCCCCTTGTCTTGCTCGACCTCCTTCGCCCCATGAACACGGCTCCTCGGCCCCGCAGGCGGGCGGCCAGTTGCAAGCCTAAAGCCCGCGCATCCAAGGGCTCGAAGACGCGCTGGAACAGCGGGCCATCGCGCGCCGAGGCCGAGACCACGAAGCTGAGAGCGACGCTGCGCCCCAACGCGCGCCCGAAGAGCATCGCGGCCACCTGGCACCTCCACCGCTGCAGCCTGCTGTCCGGCCACGCCATGGCCTCGCACCCGAATCCAGCGGCCGGCAGCGAGCCGCTCGCCACCAGCCTGCGCGCGGAGCCACAGTTCCCGACCATGCCTCCTCCTCCTCCCTCCCTCCCTCCCTCCCTCCCTCCCCTCCCTCCCTCCCTCCCTCCCTCCCCCCTCCCTCCCTCCCCTTCTCCTCCTCCTCCTCCTCTCCTCCTCCTCCTCTCCTCCTCCTCCTCCTCCTCCTCCTCCTCCTCCTCCTCCTTCCTAGGTGCGCGGCTTCTCTTACGCAGAGGGCGTCTGTACACCACCACCGTGCCAGGACGGGGCCATCCTGGGCCCCAGCCTGGCGCGGTGGTGGTGTACATAGACGCCTTCGTCGGACCTCTCCCGAGGCTGCCGCGGAGATGGCCGCCCGCGCGAGCCCGCCGCCCGCGCCTGCCCCCCGCTGCGGCGCGCGGCCCCGGAGGCGCCCCAAGCGCAGATCTCGCCCCACGGATGGAAAGCCTAAACCCGCTCGACAACGCAGAAAGAAGAGAAAAACGAATCCCACCACCACCGCACTCCCTTCCCTGCAGAGTACGACCCCCGCCATGATGAGATCGACTGGACCCCAGCCCCCCCGTGTGCAACGCAGCGAAGTCCCTGCATACTAGGCTAGGAGTGAAGTGAGCCGGGCTAGTGGACGTCGGCCAAACGCAAGAGTGACCTGAGCAAGAGTGGCCTTGGGTAAGCAGCTGTTGGGGGCTGCGGGGAGGGACGGGCAAATCCACACGCGCAAGCCAGTGTGGGAGGGGCCCTCCTGAGCCCTCCGAAAGCCACGCACCAGGGGTCACTCCCGAGAAGGGTCAGCCGGTTCTCGGGTCATCGTGTGAGTCTCCGGCCGCCGTTCGGGACGATCCGGGCACCCACCCGGACGCTCTCGGCGAGGGGCAGCTGCTGGAGAGCATCCCGAGGCAGGAAGATCCACAGGAGCCGACAGCAACGTCCGCAAACGTTCAGCTGCACAACAGGCCCTGAGATCCAGCGTTGCGAAAAACCGGATGCAAGTGCGAATACCGCGTCGTGGGTACCGCGATCGGTGGAGCTCCTATGGGGCCACAAGACGCGCGAGGGGTGTCCTGTAAAGGGCGGGGGAAGCGCATGCGGCCGCGGCCACGGGGTCTTCGGTGGAACTCCCCATGGGGCCACGAAACGCTGTGTTGGGTGGGGGAGACGCGTGCGGCCGCGGCCACTGGGGCCGTCGGTGGAGTTCTCTATGAGGTCACGAAACGCTGCACTGGGTGGCACGGACGCATGCGGACGCTCCCTCTGGGCCCTTCGATGGAGCTCCCTATGGGGCCACGAACCGCTGCACTTGGTGGCGCGGGCGCATGCGACCGCTCCCTCTGGAGCCTTCGGTTGAGCTCAATATTGGCCACGAAGCGTTGTATTGGGAGGCGCTGACGCATGCGAACGCTCCCTCAGTGGCTTTCGGTGGAGCTCCCTAAGGGGCCACGAAGCGCTGTACTGGGTGGCGCAGACGCATGCGAACGCTCCCACTGGGGCCTTCGGTGAAGCTCCCCATGGGGTGACGAAACGCATGAGGGGTGCGCCAAAATGGTTGACATGCGGAGGGCAGAGGCAGGGATGAGCAGAGGGAGGAGGAGGGAGGAGGGAGGAGGGAGGAGGGAGGAGGAACGCGGGGCGCTGTCTCTTCAAAACGACGACCCAAGACCATGGGATGGTTGGGAATATCCGGCATCGTGCCTTGGCACGAAGTGGAGTGCCCCAAGGCGTATGCAGCACTGAGGTGGTAGAAACTGTGCTGCTGCTGCAGCCAAAATTGTAAGTCTTTTCAAGGGCCCGCACCAGCCGTTTCCCAGGCCGTCCTGGGCCGTCCTGGGGCATCCCGGGGGTTCCAAGGCTGCCTCCCGTGAGTTCTGGGGTGTCTCCTGCAAGTCCTCTGGACACTGTGCCCGCCCACAACGTCCAAGAGAGCCCCGACTCCCCGAAACATAGCCTCGAGACGGCCCCTGACACCTCCAAGACGACCCCAGAGGTCTCTAACAGCACCCCCACGACGGCCCCAACAAGCCAAAATCCATGATTTTCCCTCAGTTGTTGACCTTCGGCTTTTCATAGATGTTGGCGTTCTCGCCTGTTCGGCTTTCCGACGCTCCCAGACGGCCCTAAAGGCCCCAAAAACCGCCCCAAGACGGCCCAAGAGGCCCCCAAGAAAGGCCCACAACGGCCCAAGAGGCCCCCAAGACGGCCCCAAAAATGCCCACACTGGCCCAAGATGTCCCCAAAACAGCCCCAAAAGGAACACAAGAGAGGGAACACGAACCGAAAATCCAAACCGTCCGCCCCCAGAGGCCCTCAGGAGGCCCCAAAAAGCGCCCAGGAAGCCCCACGAGGCCCCTAAGAGGCCCCCAAGAGGAGAAAACGAAGCCCCAAGAGGCCCCGAAACTGCCCCCAAGAGGCCCCCGAGAGGTCCCCCACGAGATCCCAACGAACATCCAACACGCTTCATACTCACGAGCCAAGCACGGTGGCGGGATGGGCCGAAAGCCATCGGAGAGCCTCGCGAAACATCGCGACTGGAGCACTACCCCCATCTGTCTGCAGCATGTGTCGAGCCGGATCTATTTGTACTGGCCTTGGGACCCGCAACCAGGCGCAAAAACACGGTTTGAATAAATTGCAACGCCTGGATCTGAATGGAAGCCACTCTGGCGAAGCGTCACCCTTGCGCGCAGCCGAGGAGATTGGCCGGTGGCGAGCGGACATCCCGGCGGGCGCGCGGCGGGCGCGGAGACGGGCCTCCCGCGAGGCCATCGCCGTGATGTGGGGTGCTGGCGGGCACAGTTTTGGCGCCGGGCGAGACCGAAAGGGCTCCTCCTCCTCCTCCTCCACCTCCTCCTCGTCCTCCTCCTCCTCCTCCTCCTCCTCCTCCTCCTCCTCCTCCTCCTCCTCCTCCCCTCCTCATCATGATTATCCTCCTCCTCCTCCTCCTCCTCCTCCTCCTCCTCCTCCTCCTCCTCCTCCTCCTCCTCCTCCTCCTCACCGGCGACGACACTGCCAAGCCCTCTGGACGCCCATCGCCCTGAGATCCGGGCGTTGCGAATGTTCCACGCCGGGCGCTTTCGCCTGGTTGCGGGCCCCGGGGCCGTCGCACATCGATCTGGGTCGACACACGGCGCAGAAAGATGGGGTCCAGGGCTCTGGTCGTGATTCTCCTTAGTGCTGCATATTATTTTCGCAACGTCGGATCTCAGGGTGAACTTCGGCCCCTCCTGCAGGGTAGGCCCCCGCCGCCGTGGCCAGCCTCCCCACCTCCCCAATCCCTCCTCCCAACTGCGGAATCGATGGGTCCGTGCAATCTTTCCCCACCAACTCCGCAACGAGATATGGCGGCGAGCGCGGCAACGCTTGGAGAGATTGCGCACTTTTGCCAGCATCCACCAGCGCAGCACAAAGAGCCTCAAGCCAGCCCGCATCCAAACTGGTAGCGGGCGAGAACATTGGAATACAGCATATAAGGGAAGAGAGGGCGAGCGGGGCAAAACAGGAACAGGGGACGAATCTGACGCCACACACCACATAGACAGGCAAAAAACAAAGGTTTCTTTCAACACGGATCTGAATAAGTCTTTGCAGATTCGAGCCCGTCGCTAGCTCAAATCACAGTCTCGCCAAAATTCAAAAACTATGTATGAAACATGGATGTCATCTGCAGACGGCGTCACGCAGGCAACACTGTCTCGTTAGTCGGGCTCGTCAGCCCATCGGATATCCGCATTCCGAAGGGTTGGGAAGAGGTAGGGGTTGCAATGCACCGAGGAGCGCTCGAACGTGCAAAACATGCGACAGTCTCAGCACTGCAACGCGCTGGGTTGAAGAGTGGGGGAGGAAGGAAGAGATCTTGCTTACAGTAAGGGCGCCAAAAGTGCCGTTCTGAACCAACTCCCTCATCCGCACCCCCCAGCGCTCACGTGCGACGCACCGCGCCGTCATGACCATTCTCTCCCTGAACTCGATACTTTGGGCGCCCGAGTTATCCGGGGTAGCTCGGGTCCGGGGTAACTCGGGTTCGGATTCCCGAAGAAGGAACCCGAGTTAGCCCTGACCCGAGTTACCCCTGATGATGTGGGGCTCTGGACGCCCGAATTATCCGGGGTAACTCGGGTCCGGGGTAACTCGGGTTCGGATTCCCGAAAAACGAACCCGAGTTAACCCTGACCCGAGTTACCCCTGATGATTCGGGGCTCTGAATACTCCACGTCCCTCGATTCAACGCCTCACGCAGATGGTCGGCAGGCATACCCCTTTCTCAGGACGTCGCTCAACATGTTCGTACCGTCGGTCCGTCGGTCCGCCGTACCGCAGCGCAAGGCCGATCCAGGATCTCTCGAATGGTGGCGAGTTCGAGGTTCACCGACTTCTGCGCTGAACTTCCCACGCCGGCATCCGAAGTCAGCCTGTCGCGACCGTCATTGGAATCCGCGACGACCGTCATCAGGAACTGCCAGTCTAAAAATCGCATGCCAGCGCCTCCTGCCACCAGACCGTAAAGCATCTCAGCGACCTGATCGCGTATAGCTTGCGCTACATCAACTACATCTCCGACCACAATCACATCCGCCGCGCAGGAGCTCCTCGCCACGCGCGTCAACTCGTGGCTACGGCCCTCCAGCAGCGAGAACCTGCCTACGCGACCGTCCACGAACCCCCTGTCCGCCGAGATGATCAGGTAGCCTCGTGCGCACCAATCGTCTCGATGGCTGGGTCGGTCTGCGAGGCCGCGCTATCGCTCATCACGTTGCCGAGCGAGCTGTTCGATACCGCCACCAAGCCAAAAGGCTTCATGTCGATCGGCCGCATCGCAAGCTTGAAAAAGGAGCCCCGTTCCAAATCGTGCAAAACCTAGTTCGCCTTGATCAGAGCCGCGATCCTCGAGCCCTTCTTCCGACCCATCTTGCGCTGGCCGCCCGCATGGTCCAGGCGCAGCTTCGTCACAAGCCAGCCGACATTCCCGGCGACCTGCTGGCACTGCTATGGCGTTCATCGGCACGCGCGGGGCCACACTCCTGACCTTCGGCGCCGTGACTGGTTCCAGTCCAGCAGCGTACCCCATCGCGTCGGTGGATGGCTCCTTCGGCTTGTCGATGGAATCTACGGCCGCAAAAGACGAAGGCGTCGCACTCCTCGGACCCGAAGCCGAACCCTCGACCCAGCGCGCCCATCACCCTCGGCATCTTCTGGTGCCTGGCCCAGAGGAAGTCGCCCACGTGGATGCGCACACAGCCCCAGAGACTGTCTGGATCCCGCTCCGTCACTCTTGGGTCGCGCAGCACCACGAAGGCTGGGTCGGACCGCAAGGCTTCCAAACCGAGTTTGCGAGCAGCCGCCAACACTTTCAGGCACTGAAGCTTCGGCGCCGCAGGAAGTCCGAGCACTCCTTTTTCGAACACTAGCCAATCGCGTCGCGTCTGCACTGGGGTAATTCACCTCGATGCACGACCGCGGAAAAATAAACCATCATGTAACATAGCCACCTCGCAGAGACTGCCATTGCCAATATCTGATCGGATAGACCCAGGACAAGCGCCCATACCTGCAGTAAGACATCAATCCAGTTCAAACAAACAACAACAACAACAACAACAACAACAACAACAACAACAACAACAACAACAACAACAACAACAACAACAACAACGACAACGACAACGACAACAACAACAACAGCAATAATAACAACAACAACAACAACAACAACAACAACAACAACAACCACAACAACAACAACAACAACAACAACAACAACAGCAGCAGCAACAGCAACAGCAACAACAACAACAACAACAACAACAACAACAACAACAACAACAACAACAACAACAACAACAACAACAACAACAACAATTACTAGCACGTGGGGACACTCCGTTCTCACCAGTGCCAGGGTTTTCATAGGAGGCGGGCAATACCCCCACTTTGTGGGGGGGCCGGTTCAAGCTCTACCACATTTCCAAACGACTCTTCGCCACCACCCACACCCAGCTTCCCGCCCTATGACGTTCGGACACTTCACTTCGTGGCCTGCGGACGACCGTGGCTACTACACTGGCGCATGGGTACAGTGACTTGTTGTGGTAACATTTTCTGGACGCTAGCTTAGTATACGACTTTTCCCCCTGTTCCAACACTGGACACCTGTACTGGTTTTTGGTGGTAACGTGTTCCTGACGCTAGAATAGGAAACCACGGTAAACCAGTACGACGCCGGTACTGTCTGTAGGTCCTACAATGATATGGACTGCTTTGGCTGGTGAGGCGCTAGCGTCTGATACGACGTTTTTCCGTTTCTGTACCACACAAGCGAAGACACTTATTTTGAGTGGTACCACGTGGGTGGCGCCAGCATACCACAGGACTTGTTTCCGTTGTTGTGAGACGATACATGCTCATTCTTGTTCTGTGGTTGTCGTTCCGGCCTCTTGTTCGATGACGTGGTGACACACGGACTTGTTGTGGTAACATGCCGACGACGACGACGACGACGACGACGCGACACGCGCGCATGTGTCCCGCATGGTATGTTTTGCAAGGGATTGTGGCCCCTGGCAGGCGCGCGAACGCCGTTGAAAGAGCTTGCGAAAGTAGCTCGCGCGAGCTCATGTAACATAAATGTTGAAAAACCATTGGTTTGTTAGGATTCGGACAGCGCGCGCGGGTAGAAATTTTGAAAATTCGTACAGATGTTTTTCGAGGACCTACGGTGCGATTCGTATGGTTTTATGTTGCGCGGTGCTAAAATTCCTAAGAAACCCAATGGTTTTTGAAGATTTCGGCGTGCGCGCGCGAAGAAAAAAACGAATGTGTCCCGCATGGTATTATTTGACAGGGATGATGGCCGTGGCAGGTGCGCAACCGTTGTTGGAGAAGTTCGAAGCACGTGAAAAAGTTGCTCGCAAAAGCCCGTTTGACAGAAATGTTTAAAAAGTGTTGGGTTTCCTACAAATCCGCAAGAGCGCGCGGGATGAAATTTTGACACTTTTTTTTGAAAAACCATTGGTTTTTTGATGTTTTTATGTTAAAATCGCTACGAACACTAAGGTTTTGGAAGGATTTCGTCTTGCGCGCGCGAATGTCCACTTTACCTTATTTTTTGCAAGGGATTCTTGAAGTTTGGTTATGTTAGAACAAGAAATGTCCACTTTGCCTTATTTTTTGCAAGGGAAAACCGCCCGTAACAAAACAACCGGATCCGGACCAACCCGTTTTGCCGGAGACTTCCTCACGAAAATGATGAAAACATGGCTGCGGCCTAGGCGCGGCGAGGGGGCCGCGCACCAGGGGTCCCAACAATAATTATTCTTTAGAAGTAATAATGTTCAATAACAACAACAACAACAACAACAACAACAACAACAACAACAACAACAACAACGACAACAACAGCGACAACAACAACAACAACAACAACAACATCAACATCAACATCAACATCAACATCAACAACAACAACAACAACAACAATAACAACAACAACAACAACAACAACAACAACAACAACAACAACAACAACAACAGCAATAAATACCAGCCACTGGGATGTCAAACACAACTCCCATCCCGAACTCTAGCCAATAGTTCTCGTGGAAACTCACCGAGCGACAAGCCATGGCGCGGCGCATGAACGACGAGGCCTCTCATCACCTTCACCTTGCAAGCATGCGCCACTCACGTCCGTGGATCCAAAGGCCAAATCCGGATGCAACGTCGCTGCCCGCGCCAACATCACCTTCGACTGGGTCGTCGCGCAAGGAGCGCCCACGCGCGCGTTGGACTTCTCGTCGGATCGCCCAGGACCGCCACCGTCAACCACGAGCCGGGCGTGCGCCTTCATAGGCCAGTCATTGGCCCCTGTCCTCAGCGGGTCGCCCTTGTCGGTCAGCGCCCACCTCGTTCCCAGGATGTAGCCAAGCGACAAATATTTTGCGGTCGGGAGCCCATTGTCCGTCGCGTCTTAGTTCTCCGTTCATGCCTTACTCAGCATGGCTTGAAAAACTCCCATGACCCTCTTCTTCCGAGAAGGCGTTCCCCGTCATCCACCAGCGAATTCCCCAAGTGCAGCCCGGATCACATAATCAATTACCACCAACAAACGCTCCACGCCCAACTGTCCCATCGCGTCGATATTCGCGTCGAATCCGTCTCGAATGCATGTCGAACCCGCGAATATACCGCGAATCCCCGTCGAATCCACTTCGAATCCGCGCCGAATCCGCACCGGACACAAGAAATGGCCGCCGTTGGCAGGACTGACGAAGCCCCCCGAAATTGCAACGCGACCCACCCACACGTCAGTAGAAAATGGCGGCGTGCCAAGAGAAGAAAATGCTAGAGGGGCGGCACTATGAGAAAGCAGGGGCCCACGCTTTCTGGAAGGCGCAGCGCCTTCTTAGAAGGCCCGCCCCCCCTGACCCCCGCCCACAGCGCACCGCAGCGCACCGCCGCGCACCGCAGCAAACAACATCGCACCGCCCGCCACCGACGCGCACCGACGCAGGGCCCTGCACGCGCGCGCTGGCTCCTCCGCCAGAGCGTCGCAGCTGGACGCCCGACGTCATTCTTCCAGGCGGCGACAGGAATCGCCTGCACACAACCTCGCGGGAGAGCGAGTTCGGGTCACGACCGTGGGATCCCCGAACAGGGGCAGGCAGGGCATGGTCTCAGCCGCAAGCGATGTGGGGCACAGCGCGCCCGAGCCAGAAGGGGCCGCGGACCAGTCGACTGTGCACCTGTGCGGCGGGACAATCAGGCGGGCAGCAACGGAAGGAGCAGGCGGGGAGGGACCCGCCGAGACCCTGGAGCACCTCACGCGCGGCACCGCGAGACGAGGAACGAAGTGGACGAACAGGAGCCGGCGGGTGGGCCCTCTGCGGCAGGAGGGAGGCGGAGGGGATCCACTCGGCGGACTGCAGAGCCGGCTGGACAGGTAGAGACAGACGGCGCAGGAAAAGGCGTCAAAACCAAGGGGCAATGCAGGCGTGAGAGACAAACGAGACAAGATCACGCACGCGCGCATGCACGCACCATCGTCGATATGACTGTGGCCGCTCAAAACACTCTTCGTTGCCGCGGCATATACATCTTACCGTCGTGACCGATCCCTGCACTACGTTTCGTATTGCAGGTGTTCGTCGTCGTCCGTTTTCTGCCCCGTCTTGTCACATGCTGCATCTCTCTCTCCCTCTCTCGTCTATCGCTCTCGCTCCCCCCCGGTCCTCCTCACACCGAAGACTAGCTCATCCATGCACCCACCCGCCGGCCCAAGCACTCACTGGTCCACACAGACGCACACACACACACACACCAGCCAACCCAACTACGCACCTGCCCATCTACCACCCGCCAAACACGGTCGGGCACGGAGATCAGCTCACCGAAAAGAAAAAGGAGGCAGTCCGTCCTCGCAGAACTCACGCTGTCGACGAAGAGCACCTTCACGTCTTCGGTACTGCACCTGGCTGCCGAGCAGTGTGGGAAGTAGTGGAAGCGCACGACGAGGAGGACGAGGGAGTGAAAGCGCATGTGGGAAGATCCTTCCGTACTATGCTCAGCTGGTGTGCACAAGTAAAACACACGTTGAGGCGTGGAAGAACCTGACCGGACAAGAACGGGAAGCGCCGTTTTTGTCCACCAAACGTGTCAGCAAGGAGGGTTTGAACCGAACTGGTAACCGTGAACCGGCGGCTCCTGCAACCGAACCGCCCAAACCGGAGCTCAAACCGGACCGGCTGAAACTGAACCGGCTGATTCGCACCGAACCGGCAGGTCGAAACCGGCCCGAACGGTCAACCCGAACCGGTGGAACCGAACCGGCCTGCCAAATAGGCCTCCAGGACGGCCCAAGAGGGCCCCAAAACGGGTTCCGTAGAGTTCCAGCGGCCGACGGCGCCAGGAGGGCTCCAGGAGGGACCAAACGGGCTCCAGGCCGGCCCCAGAGGGCCCCCAGAGGCTCCCCAGAGAGCTCCGATACACCCCCCGACGGATGCTACAACAGAGGGGTGCGTTCTAGCATCCGTTGGGGCCCTGAAAGGACCCCAACGAGGCGGCCCAAGGGAGCTCTGCCAGGGCGCTCCCAGAGGGCGGCAAGAGGGCCCCCCCCCCAGGAAGCTCGGAGGCGGCCCCCCGACGGAAGGCCTCGGCGAGCCGTTTTCGGGCCTCTGGACCTGGGGCCTGGACCCGGGGTCCGGACCTGAGGTGCGGACCTGAGGTCCGGACCTGAGGTCCAGACCTGGACTTCTAATCACGCGGTCGGGACGCTGTCGTCGTCGCCGCCATCGCTCCTCCTCCTCCTCATCCCGCTCATTTTTTGTTGGAGGGTAGTTCGATCCGCGGCTGCAACACGCAACACCTGTAACATACTGCGCGCCAACCTTTCGATCACCCGATCCGGACCGCCCGAAACCGAACCGTCCCGAAGCAAAACCGAACCGGCTCAAACCGAACTGGCGTCGAACACGAACCGCCACAGCCGAACCGGCCCCGCTGCCGAACCGATGCGAAATGGCCCGAACCGGCCCCATGCTGCGTCAGAGAACGTACGGTGGAGAACGTCAACGAAACCTAGAAACGCAACACAACAAATTAAGACACATGCTGTCGGTTCATTGCGATGGCCTGCCGCGCTAGTCTGCCGTACTGGTCTGTCTAGCTAATCTGCCGCCCTGGGCACATGATGGACTTCGCGGGCCGTCTAGGGCTCTTGGGGCTCTCTTGGGCTCTCTGGGGCCCTCTGAGGAACCGTGTGAAAGCCTGTTGGGAGCCCGTTGTGAGCCTTTTGGGAGCCTGTTGGGGGCTTCTGTGACCCTCTTGGACTGTCCGGGCGCGTCTCGAGGGTCTGTGGGGGCTCTCTCAGCGTTCTCGTGGACTGTCTTGGGGCTCTCTTGGGCAGTCCCAGGCCTCTTCGGGCGCTCTTGGAGGCCTCTGGGCGCCCCTTGGGGGCCTCTTGGGGGTCGCTTGGGGCGCTTTGGGGGTCCCCTGGGAAGCCTTGAGCGGTTTTGAAGCCCTCCACGGAACGATTTCAAGATAATGCTGATTCGGAGTGGTCTCCGGATCCGATTTGTTGAGAATGTCTCGAACGAAACGGCCATTTTTCCAAACCTGACCGGACAAAAAACGGGAAGCTCCGCTTTTGTCCACCAAGCGTGTCAGAGAACGTACGGTGGAGAACGTCAACGAAACCTAGAAACGCAACACAACAAATTAAGACACATGCTGTCGGTTCATTGCGATGGCCTGCCGCGCTAGTCTGCCGTACTGGTCTGTCTAGCTAATCTGCCGCCCTGGGCACATGATGGACTTCGCGGGCCGTCTAGGGCTCTTGGGGCTCTCTTGGGCTCTCTGGGGCCCTCTGAGGAACCGTGTGAAAGCCTGTTGGGAGCCTGTTGGGAGCCCGTTGTGAGCCTTTTGGGAGCCTGTTGGGGGCTTCTGTGACCCTCTTGGACTGTCCGGGCGCGTCTCGAGGGTCTGTGGGGGCTCTCTCAGCGTTCTCGTGGACTGTCTTGGGGCTCTCTTGGGCAGTCCCAGGCCTCTTCGGGCGCTCTTGGAGGCCTCTGGGTAAGCAACTGGATGATCGGGAGACCGCGTAACGATCAATAGATCCGTTCTCAATGCGCTGCAGTGGCTTCCCGTGTCGCGAAATAAGATCAAAGCCTCAGTGACAGCCGCCTCAGTGTGAGCACATATTGGGCCATTACCTAAGCAAAAACAGGCCGCAAAAATCGATGCTAACATTGGCAGTGATACGAAGGACATCTCTCGCATTGCACCTTTTTGAATCAAAGAAGTGCTAGGGGAAGGCATTGGGGCTGATCGCAGCCAGCCCGATCCCGAGCGCCACACGACATGGGTAAGTCTGGGCTGATCGCGGACAACATAGTTGGCGACGCTCCAAGCCACCGATCATGGGGGGCGACTGGGGGGGGGGGCAGGAAGGAAACATCGACCAGGAAGCGGCT